ATTAGGATAAATCTAAATGTCATCCTAACAACTACTTCAGTAGTAAAATAAGATATTCAGCGAAGTGGTCTCTTTTCAATGAATCTAATCTCGAGTTGTGCATGTACATATATATAATTTTCCAGGAAACGTGTGATTAGAAATGCAAGATTTATAAAAGTCCAACTTCACTCGTTCACATGCGATTTTACATCTGAGGCTAACCAATTCATCTAACGTTTTAACAGTATGCTGAGGAAGTCTTCTTTTTAAAAATTTAAAGCAACTAGTCCCTTTGATAAATTTAAACAGCGTAATGAGAAGACGAAGATTATCTGAAACATGTGTGATGTATTAGCGCTATACATCTCCAACAATCTGATCACACATGGACTTGTCGAACTATTTGTGTGAAAATTTACGAAAAAGGTCAATGAAGTTAATAGGAAACATAGGAATAGGAAGGGATAGGAAAAAAAAGAGGAAAACCTTACTCTTGGTATGAAAATTAAAATCAATACACCACCAAGGTAGGTTCAACGTGAGTACAAATTGTTTTTGTATACATAAAGGGGGTTTAAATTTACGGATGGCAAGAGCTTCAATAAATTTAAGCACTCGGCTGTGACCACTTTTATGTAGTACTTTAAAAGCTGTTTTCATGTCTATCCTATGGTTAGTTTCTAGTATATGTTTAGCGAAAGACGAAGATGGACGTTTGTCATCTGCACTTATCGGATCTGTTGAGGTCATTTGTTTTTGTAGCCACTCAGGTACATGCTCAACCTTCCTTAACTGCCTATTATGATTACTCCTCCCTATATATGTGTGTCCACACATACATGTAAATTGATAAACACAGTGGGATGTTATGTAATCGTTTATATGTTGTTTCGGTTTGTGCTGTAACATGGACTTGGTCTTCTCTACAATGATGACCTTAGCTGCATAATACGTTTTACAGATGACCGATCTAAGTCTTTTCCTCACAATAAAGCTATGTGAATCACCTCTAAATGGTAATGAGATGTAGACATTTATCATAGCAACGGAACACTGTGTACTTTTCAATGGTACATAACTTTTGCACCGATCGATAAATCTCAACGCGTATCCATTCTGTGCCAGAGTTGTCGTCAGTAAGTTAGTTTCTTCCTCCCTGATGTCATCGGTGCAGATACGGTTTATCCTGTTTAGTTAGCTACGCGTATTTACTATGTTAAGATCTTACTGCAACACATTGACCTTTTGATTAGTTGAATGATGATGATAATACGACACATCAACGCATACAGGCATACATGGAAAATATTCCTCTATGGAGGCAAATATAAGTCTTAAGGATGAGATGCACGGCTTATTAGTCTGACATACTCTGACTACCACTAAGAAGTTAACATATTTAGTTAATTTCGTTTGGTTGGTTGGGTAAGCGAAAAGTTGTGAGACACCGAATGAAATACTCAGCCCATAAAATACCCATAGAATGTTGTTGAGTTGGTTGTACTTTTAGGACGCATACTGAAAGAATTATTATTATTATTATTATTATTATTATTATTATTATTATTATTAGTCCCTTGGGTTCCTAGTGGAACATAGGGCCTCACTAGCACGTCTCCAGTGACCTCTGTTCTCTGAGATCTTTTGAACCTGGTCCCACGACAGCCCACAACCTCTCATTTCCTGCTCGCACGACCTCCTCCATGTCACCCTCGGACGTCCAACTCGTCGCTTCCCATGGGGATTCCACTCGAGTACCTGGCCTGACGCGTGATGTCCTCCGTCGGCCTTCTCAGTGCATGGCCAATCCATCTCCACTTCCTCCTGCATATTTGTTGCGTGATAGGTTCTTGGTTGGTTCGTTCCCAGAGTTCCTTGTTGCTTATTCTTTCTGGCCATCTGATCTTCAGCAGCGAGCGTAAGCAGTTGTTGATGAATGTCTGTAGTTTATTGGAAATGCCTTTCGTGACGCGCCAAGTCTCTGAGCCATACAAGAGCACTGACTTGACGTTGGTGTTGAAAATCCGTATCTTGTTCCGCATGCTGAGTGCAGAAGATCTCCACACTGGTTTCAGGCTAATGAACGCCTGTCTTGCTTTTCCGATTCTGACTTTGACGTCCTCGTCCGTCCCGCCTGTAGTTGAAACAGTGCTTCCTAGATAAGTGAAGGAGGTTACTTCCTTTAAGTTTCTCCCGTTGACGGTGATTGGAGTTTGTTGTTGTTGTTGTTGATGGTGGTGGTGCGGTATCTTCATCACTTCTGTCTTCTCTATATTCACCTGAAGTCCCGTCTTAGCTGCCTCTTCTATCAACTTGTTAGTTTTTGCCTGCAGATCTTCAAGTTTGTGTGACATTAGGCATAAGTCATCGGCGAAATCCAAGTCTTCTAGGTTCTTTTCCGTCGTCCAGTGTATCCCCCTCTTCTCGCTGCCTACTGTTTGCTGCATGATCCAGTCCACCACAATAAGGAATATCATGGGGGATAGTAGGCAACCTTGTTTCACTCCTGTCTTCACTTCAAAGGCATCACTGAGCTTCCCATTGTGGATTACTTGGCATGTGGCATCTTCATATAGTTGTTGAATGAGGCGGATAAAGGTTTGCGGTACTCCGTAGTATTGAAGCAGTTTCCAAATTACTTCTCGGTCGACGCTGTCAAAGGCCTTCTCAAAGTCGATGAAGTTGAGGTAGAGAGCTGATTGCCATTCTATGCTCTGTTCTATGATGATACGAAGCGTTGCAATTTGGTCTGCACATGATTTGTACTTCCTGAAGCCTGCCTGTTCCGGTCGCAGTTTTGAATCCAGTGCGTCTTTAAGCCTCTCCAGGATGATGCGGCTTAATATTTTACTTGGGGTGGACAGGAGAGTGATTCCGCGCCAGTTCTTGCAAGCACTGAGGTCTCCCTTCTTCGGCAGTTTGACAAGGTAACCCTTCTTCCAATCGTCAGGTACCTTCTCTTCCTTCCACACCTTCTGCAATAGTGGTGTGAGCATGTCCGCTGTTGTCTCTGCATCTGTTCTCAGTGCTTCTGGCGGTATTCCATCTGGTCCTGCTGCTTTCCCGCATTTCAGTAGCTTTATGGCGTTCAGGACTTCCATTTTCGTTGGGGGATTAATGTTCACTTGTAGTTCAGCGGCTGCAGGTGGTATTTCTGGACGAAGTGCAGGTGGTGGTCGATTCAAGAGCTTCTTGAAGTGGTCGGCCCATCGTTTCCTCTGTTTCTCTTCTTTTGTAATTAAATTTCCTTCTTCATCTTTTATTGGTTTCATCTGTGTTGGTCTCTTCCCTGATAGCAACCTGGTTATTTGATACAATGTCGTCAGGTCTCTCTTACCTGCAGCCTGTTCTGCTTCACTTGCCAGTGTTTCGTAGAAGTGTCTTTTGTCTTTGCGTGCACTCTTCTTCACTTCTTTGTCCAGTGTTTTATACATTGTGCTCAGTTCCTCTTGTCGTTGAGCATCCTTGCACTGGTTTATCTTCTGCTTCACCATCCTCCTCTCCTCTATCAGCTTCCAGGTATCCGTCGAGATCCATTCCTTGTCTTCTTTCTTCTTCCTTCCTAATACTGTTGTGCAGGTTTCTTTCCACATAGCTTTTAAAGACTTCCAGTGTTCTTCCACACAGGTTTCTTCAGGGATGTTCCTCGATATCTCCCATTTTGTCTTGATGGCTGACTCGTGAAGATCTCCTTTGTAGTTTCATCCTTCAGTTTCCGAGTGTTGTACTTGACTTGAGGTCTATCACCAGCTTCCTTGAAGGCTTTTAACTTGATTTGGAAGGTTCCTTGCACTAGACAGTGAGTGGTCTGAACCTACATCTGCTCCTCTTCTTGACCTTGTGTTAAGTAGACTGCGTCTCCATTTTCTTGAGATTGAGATAAAGTCGATTTGATTTTTGGTGTGTCCATCTGGTGAAATCCATGTCGCTTTGTGGATATCTTTGTGCCTGAACACACTGCCTCCAATCACCAAATCGTTGAATGCGCAGAATTCTGCAAACAATTCTCCATTCTCATTCATTTCACCTAGCGCCTCTCGACCCATGGTTAGTTCTCTTCCCGTGTTGTCCCCTCCCAGTTTGGCATTCATGTCGCCCATTAGAATTTTGATATCGCCAACTGACGTCTTGTCCAGTGTTGATTGAAGTTGTCTGTAGAAATCCTCCTTTTTCTCTTGCTCTGCATTATTTGTAGGTGCATAACATTGTATGATTGTGACCTTCCTTCCTTTTGAGTTGAATCTTGCTGTCATGATCCTGGAGGAGATTGGTTCCCACTGCATGAGAGCCTTCGATGCTCTTGAGGACATCATGATAGCCACTCCCTCAGTGTGCTCGTGGTTGGCGTCTGGGTGACAGTATCGGAGTAGATTATTGATTCTCCAGTTGACAGTTTGGAGAGTCCACTCCCATTCCATCTGCTTTCGCAAATCCCAAGCACTTCGATGTTATACCTTCTCATCTCCCTTGCAATCTGGGCTGCCTTACTGGGTTCAAACATCGTGCGGACATTCCATGCCCACACGTTTACTTTCGCTTTCATCGAGAGAAGACACATCGGCCAATTGGCTTCCCGAAGTCAGGCTTTCACCAACAGGCGTCATTTCGCCTCTCCGATTCCAGCGGGGAATAAGTTTGTTTTCATTTTTTATATTTTGTTTGTGCTTTGAAGTTTCTTTAGCGGTTAGATTTGTTTTAAGGGGTAGGGTTGCTAGCCCTATGCCCAACCTTCCCTCTTTACCCGGGCTTAGGACCGGCTAGTAACTAGTAAACTAGTTAACCAGGCGAGGTTACTGAAAGAATTACTCACCTTTTATCAGTTTCATAACAGATTCCACTACCAAACTCTTTGGAAGATCATTTTTATTTGCTGTTAAAATGTTTCTAATCTTGTTTTTTCGCAAAATAAAATAAGTGTTTTACCAAGAACAGATATCTTTATGGAAACTTGTAGATAATTATAATACTGGACATTACGTAGGACATTAATTAGTATGAATTTTAGAACTGAGTTCAAGATGACAGTTGTATGGAAATATATTTCCAGTAGTATTCTAGCATTACTGACATGGGGTAATGATTGAAAGCGAAATGAAAGTCAAGGTCATGGCAAAATTCAAACTGGTCGCCTCCCACCTACTGTCCCGATGCCGTATCTTGGTGATTAAAGTGGAACTCAGATCTGGCTCACAGATATGTCTCGTAGCTTGTAGGTCACCCAGCTAGTAATTTGGATGCTACTGGTTTCAATCCTGCTGAGACTCAGGTTTTCATTTAACCTTTAGTAATCACCCTGTATAAATAATACTAGTCTGTAAAACATTGGCAGATAGTCTCGTTGAAAATTTTAGTGTTACTGATGTTCGCCAACCAATCATTCATATCTAAAGTGTTTAACTTGAGTTGTTAACGTGGGGGAGTGCTGTTTTATTTGATAACAGTAAACTACATGAAGTAAGCGTATGGAATCAACAAGATTATATAGTGCTCTTATCAAATTTGAAGCTGGACACCTTAAGGCTTCTGTCGGAAAATCTACCTACATATACTTACACTTAGTCGGGTATCATAGGAAACTGGGTAGGATCAATTACTGTTTTGACTTCTTTTGATATTTTGCAACATGATGTAGAAGTGATCCCTATAGCATGACGTGTGGGACTCTCCTTTTTCAAAATGCTTAGGCGTAGGTAGAGATTAATAATGTTAGAGGCAATCGGTAGGAAGCCCTGGTTTCGTAGTTGTTGGTACTCGTCGGTAAAGTGTGCCTGTTCCTTCAGGGGAATTAATATCTCCTGTGAGACTCAAACCCTTGCAGCCCAGTGTTGCAGTCAGAGACGTTGCCATTCAGCTGTTTGGACAGCGATAGGCATCCGTTGAGACTGGGTAGCGTACGCTGATTAGTCCTTACAGAACAAGCCCTGAATGTTGACTAAATTCTATGGATCATTTTGTAATGTTGCCACTATGTTAGAAAGCTCCCCATTGTGGTGCACTTCTATAGATATTAGTGATGCGGGTCCAAATTTCAGAGAGGATATAAGTTCCCTGGAGGTTGCGGATGCGCTTCACTGTCGAGTGCCAACAAGGACGAAACCTAGGTTAAGCAAAACTTCCTGCCAACTGCCTCCAACCAACTAGCATCCATCTAAGTGCACCGCGATGATGAGATTCTTAGCGCAGTCGCCACATTGCAAACTGACCTATAGGACTCAGATGACACTCAGGATGAAATTTGTCCAGCTCCAACGACCGACCAATGAAAAATTTACAATCTTCAGCGTTAACCTGAAACAGTTTATGATTCAGTTCAATGATAATAATACAAAGTAATCGGTGCTATTCATCCCCATTTGTGATGAGGCTACCACATAGGTTATGATTCCCTATTAAAAGATTGGGAAATTCACTCTGGAATAAATTACTATTTATCTAGCGTTAATTTAAATTTCCTGTTATTCGATCTCTTGACAAGCATATAGCAGGACTTATATAATATTCTTCTTTTGTTGTTGTTGCTTGGTTTGTTTAGGCCTAGGGGTTATTATCATTCGAATGAAAAAAGAATCACTTTAAAGGTCACTCTAACAAGTGAAATAACAATCAGACGTCTGTGTTTTATGAAACTCTGCCTTTGCCAGACGAAATGAAGAAACCTTATTGGTTATTTCGATTGTTGCTAAGGTGGCCCTTAAAGTCTCCCGTAAAAAAGGAAATTAGATACAGTCACGTGACCTACTATCCTTTAAAGGGTGACTTTACAGGCCACCCTGACAACTGCTAAAATGACCAATCAGGCTTCCATATTTTGCGTTGGTTCATAAGGCGTTGTAGTTACTCTGTAGAATGTCAGTAATAATAAAGAACTTATGAATCAACTTATATCTGGGAAATTTGACCGCAGCTAATGCGTTAACGTGTTAGTGAGGTTGATTGATCATGACAAGTTATCGAATCAAGTTATGCTGTCTGGGATCTATTTTCCTTCATGTTCCAGTATATTATGAAGTTGAAATAAAGAGTGGTCCGAAGGAAACTGACTATTTTCATCGTACTAAATAACTACTGAGTTTCAATTATCTATCAGTGATCGATAATGGGTAGCAGTAGAGTCAAGGACGTGCGTTTAGTCGTATTTGGGGCTATTAAGCTGGATTTACCTTCCTCTCGGTGAGTGATGTTGTTTCCAATAGGACTGGAACTGGAGACCGATAGCTTATCTACTAGACCACTGAGTCACGATAGCCACTTCTTGTGTGAAGGTTATAGTTTTAATGTTATTGCTTGTATTTTCTTGTCGCTGATTGAACCAGCGGAATAATTCAAGCAATAACATTAAAACTACTGAATTGTTTAATGTTTGATTGCATGTCTGTAACTATATGATGGGAGTGTAACTGAGGCAATCTGATTTCTAAAACTAAATACCCATTTTCTTAAGTTCTATACTTCAAATGTTGAGTTGATGAATTATTAAACGTTTGCAATCATAATGCCATCCTTGACTACCAGACTGAGTTTTTTTATGCAGTGATTAGGTCTTTTGAGCTTTGAATCAAACGGAAAAGAACATATTTCTCAAGTGAAAGTTTTTGACTCTCTTAAACTAAGATTTTATTACTACTGAGACAACCACAGTTTTAAGTTGGTTGGAGGCAATCGGCAGGAAGCCCCGGACCTAGGTTCCGTGCTTTTTGGCACTCGTCAGCAAGGGGTACCTACAACCTCAATGGAACTGATGTTCTGCCTGAGATTCGAACCCGCGTCACCCAGTGTTGAGGTCAGCGACTTAACCACTGAGCTATCGCTGAAGAGTGCCGAAACCACGAAACCTAGGTTCAGAGCTTCTTGCCGATTGCCTCCAACCAACTAGGGTCTACTAATGTTCACCGCGATGCTGAGCTTCCTATCTTGGTTGCCACATTGCAAATATGATCGATGTGATTCGGTCTGCACTCAGGACTAGACAACATGAAATTGGTTGCACTCCGGTGACCAACCAATGCATAACCATAGCTTGGTAGGGTGTTATCGTTGATTTCAGTTATCACTAAGAATCATTTACATCAGTATGCAAAGCATACTTGTCCCAGATAATCTCATTTATAATCAGTATGATCCTTCTCCTCCCTAAATCAGCTTATTTCAGATTTGGAAAAGAAGTCATGGGTAGGTAGTCTGTGTGACTACGACAAATAGATAGTTCCGTATCATAGATTTACTTGAAATCAAGGCAAAATTTTTGATGATTAAAGTTAAGAGATCATCAGCTAGCTCTCACAGATCAGTTAGTAGAGCGCCGACCAGGCACCGCTAGTTCGAATCACTTCATTTTCAATCATCACCTAGAATCATCATGACTACTAACACTTGCTGAGAATAATAAGATCCCCATAGTTAATCAATGTATTCATTTCGAAACTGTTTCTAGATGAGTACCAATTACCTGCACACTTTAAGCAAAAGTGAAAGAATTTCAACAGTTACATTTCCTTTCAGTGATAAGATTCAATTCAGTCTTTATGCCTTATCAGTAATGCATATCAAGGACTGACTAGCTAACTGACTTAGCTTTCGATATATGTAATTTATAGTCTACAACTGTTCCTTTCACTGGACCAAAGTTATCAGCTCTTATTGGTTAGTATCCACGTGTACGAATACCTTCATACTAATAAAAATTTTGCTGTGCTATGATCAATTTTTTGGTAGTTTACAATGAAGAATTGAGACTTGACACTTCAGTTCACCTGTATGGTATTAAGTATTTGCACAGGGATGCAGGCACATGCAAATGATAATTGTCAGAAAGGACGAAAACGTCCTTCTTAATTTTCGTTAAAAACAGCCTCAAACACAATTTAAGATCTAAGTTGAATGTTTAGATAAGTTTTGATTTCTGGATTCTGTTGATTATTTAGAAGTACGTTAGTTTGATCAACTGACTCACTTGGTTTCAATGTATAGATCAGTTGATCCCAGAAGAATAAACTATTCTGTTATGTAGGATGATCAATGTGTAGTTCAAGTTAACATTTCTGAAAGCTGAAACGTTTTTCAACTACCTAACTGTAGTGTCAACAGTAGTTTCGTTGGGAACTATCCGTCAGGTAAGATCACAAAGTGTGATCTCTGACAAAAAAGTGTCATGAACTGCCGAAATATATCACTGAAAAACTTGAGTTTTGGGAACCACTCATTCTGATCTGCAGATTTCACAAACTAGATCAAAGTAGTTTAAACATCGGATGGGCGTTCTGCTCGTTTGAAACGAAGCTCGTTGGTGGTGTACCTGACTTAATTTTACTCACATGACCAAATTATCCAAACCAGTTGAAATGATTAGATCACCTCGATGTAGCCAGCGAAATCTACAATCGGCGTTAATGGTTTTTAACCACTTCTCTTATCTCTTCATATATCCAACTTCGTTGCTGTTCTTGTTTGTCTAAACCATCAGGATCAATAGACTTCGGTCTCACGCCTAAGTTCTACATATACAAATGCTTCATCAGTTTTCACAGAAAATCTCAGTCACTAGTTCGATGGTAAATGTTCGTTTATATTCACATCAAAGGCGTCTAAAACAACATTCTTAGTATGCGAATCAGTCAGCTTCAATGGTTTCATATCAGATATATGGGTACTGTCCATATGGGTTATTAAGGTATCGGTTGGGAGGAGCATTTAGTAGGACTAGAGCCTTTTTCTCCTCTTTGGAGGAGAGGATTCAAGCTGAACTTAGACTAACTGAATAGGTATCGACCAAAGTATAAGTGAGTAGTAAAAGAAACAGAGGAAAATAGTTTTGCTTTTATTTATCACTTGGGTTTTCGCATGTTTTTCGGGTGATTACGTAATTTTCCATTTTAAATCTTTCTAGGGATTTATTTGTTGGTTTCGAGCTGGTATTCATCATGGAGTGAGATCAGTTGGAGAAACATTGGGAACCTGAAAACACTGGATGGCTGTTTTGTCATAGTATGGGACAAACGGAAGTAGGAAATATGGATAACTGTATTCCGAGCCAGTGGCTCAGAAATAACGAGCTGGCTACGTGACCTGAAGGTCCCTGGTTCCACCTATGGAGGGTCGATGGGTGCGCTCTACTTAGAAGTCCCATACTAGGATGGATCAACTGTCCAGTGCTCTCAAGTTTCCAAATTTTCTTCAACTGATGTCACTCGATGATCAATATAAACCTAAAATGGATAAATAAATCCCCATAAACTTAGTAAGGTGAAATTCTCATTTCACCCATATACACAGTTGTAAAATATAACTTTGGTTTATTTCATCCAATACTTGGTAACTGTGTATAACACAACCAACTGTTATGACTGAATCCCCTAGGTAAAATATCTAACCTCATATCTTTAGAATATATTGAATAAATTAAAAAAATTTTCAACAGAAATTTGATTGAAAAATTTGTAAATTATTCACATATTTTACGCTCCACATTAGTATTTCTCAATATGACTAGTTTTTCAGCTAGTCGTCTGTAGTGTAAACAAGGTATCCAATGAAAGTCACCTGATCAATATTTCAAAATGTGATCGCTGACATCAGACGAAATAGCTGTCCAGTGTTTAGATCCTTATTATCTAAGTGATGAAAACTGCTGGTCAGTGTGATTGATTTTTGACCGTTAGTGATATTTGTTCACTGGAATGGATTTAAAGGCAACCATAGCAACTGCTGAGATAATCTATTAGGCTTGTATATTTCATGAAAAACTACTTTTCTAGTTGGAATACTGAAACTTGATTGGATTACTTCATCAGTTGACGGGATAGTTTTTAAAGTCACTCGTTCACTGAGCCTATTTAAAACAGAAACCATGAGAACGAGTTAACGTTACAGTTTTGTTTCTAATGTGTTTCAAGCGTTATTCAGGAGATCTTTATTTACATAAGGAAAGCGATTGTGTATTCATAAGAGCATTGGTGTTCAACGGTGGAATTATTGTATGTATACAGCAGAAAAACATTATGTGTGTATTCATTTTTATAGACGTTACTTCTCTGATGTTCTGTTAATCTCTCATTTACTTATTGGCAAACATGAACTGAGAATACTTTCCGGACATAGCGTATTCGGAAAGCATGAAGTTAAAAGAGCTGCCATATAGAGTACTTATGTGATAATGAAAGAAGATCCTGGTGATAAAGAGTGGAAAAACATGCTATTTGTAACTAACCTGTGTATCGAAATATCGGAAACAATAACGCCAGTAAGCAAAAAAGGCAACTAAGTAAGCGGGCATGATAAACGTAGCATAGCTGAGTAGAATTTATGTAATATAAGCGTATGCAATGCCTGTAACGTGGATAAATTTTGGAGAAAAAACATACAGCTAGCACAAAACAAGTTATCCAACATGACGGGGAATGACCTTCAAATGGTCAAAAGATAGTATTCTGATTGGTTAACTAATCCGTCAGGCATGAGTTCAACTTAGCCCGGTAGGGTTGGAATGTGAGTAAAAGGATTTTGTATTTAATTGCTTCAACTTGTTTACGTTTTTCTAAGTTATTAGTACTGGAACGCATTCTTAAGGTATTTGTTTTTGTCGCCTATTTTCATATTTCTTTCTCTCGCTTCGTCCTATTGTGCACTCGCTTATTCTAGAAAGTATTTGGATTTCTAATCCACTCTTCAAGTTAAACTTGCTAATAGAATGACTGATTTGTGTATACTTTTTTTGATCAGTCTGATGTAATATATAATTTCTGATTTGAAATGCATACGATGTTTCTCACGATCGCACACTATTTATCATTATTATTATTTTTAATACTTATATGTTTGGTAGTCAGATATACAACAGAGTAGTAGAAGTGATAGTAATAGCAATAGTAGTGGTAGTAACATCAGCCAAACATCTAACCCAGTCTATCTAGTCCAAAATTCAGACCACTGGCCTAGATAGCAAGTGTACTAACGCACATGGGAAATACAGAGATGTGTACATACAAACATAGCTAAAATTTGAATTACCAATCAAATTTGTTGACAATGCATATATCTATACCATCTTTTATGTGTGTGTTTGTGCATATGTATCAACTTGGCAGTATATTTCACTGGAGGTTAAGAGACAGTGTTTTTAGGATCAAGCGGCCAAAATTTTTTATAAGCGCTTGCTACATTCACATTGTTGTCGTCTTCATCTTGTTCACCGGGTTAGATTTGTAATCGTCACTAATGTCTAATGACAATGAAAGTGAATAGAACATTTCATCACTTATTAAAACACATGTAAACATCTACAAAAAGTCAAGAAAGTCACCACTTTATCGTTCATCTGTTTGGATATATTTAACAAGCAATAACCGATAAACTCAAAACAGTTCAGAGGATTTGCAGTGGATATAAGGAGTCACAAAGAGAAAAAGGAAGGAAATAAAGAAGGACAATGATCATTGGAAAGGTCAGTAGGACCAGAAAGTCGCAATGAATGCGAGACGAGTGAAGGAATACCATGGTAAAATAAGTAGCAGTACATCTTTATCAAAGTAAGTTTATTACTGTTTGCCTTAATGCAGCGTTTAAGATAGTAATGATTATTAAATTGTGTTTTATCTGCAGTTTTTGGATTTACATCCAGGTAATTCTGTCATGTTACAATCTCGAGGGTAATTTTTGTACACAATATCAGTCAGCTGCATAGTTATCTAACTATACAATAGATGTTATTTGATATTTGTAATTTCCCTTTGCTATACGTGGTTGAATTGCTCGACCTCTGCTGGCAGATGGACTCCTATGCGGATGATTCCATACTACCGCTTATTCCTGGTTTATACTTATCTTGATGACTAGCAGAGGAATCCAGAAAGCACGTTTCCTCCTATCTCGGACTCATCAGCCGGATGTACCTGCACTTCAGTGAGTGATGTTGTTCCCACTGAAGCTGAACCTCAGTACCGTTCGCTTCAAATGCCATAGAGTTATCCACTAAGTTACTAGGAAACGATAGCCACCTCTTGTGCAACAGGTATCAGTTGTTGTAATGATACTTGTAATTTTACGTTGCTATATTGGGTTGGATAGGTTGAGCCCTGTCTGCAGATGGGCCTTTATGCGGATACCTGAATAATGCTGCATATTCACGTTGTATTCACCTTACTGTGGATGTTTTCTTCCAGATGAAACTTTATATCTATAATTATGCTTATAAAATTGGTCTATATGGATCAAACAAAACTATTTTTTTGGACGTGGTGCGATAGAAACAAATTTAATATTTATTCAGAATGCTGAGATAAAAAATTGGTGCTTTAGGATTGATTTGCGTTGACTGATAGGTTGATTGGAATCGCCAGTTGTACTGCACTAGTGCGACACAAGGTCTAAGTGGTCTATCTTCATTTTCTAGGATACTCCATCAATGGAGTTGTTCTAATGTATGCTATTCTAGTACGTTCATTTCTACAGTTTCCTGATAAAAGATGATCATCTTCACTGGAGAAAAGGATAGTTCATTGATTCGCTAGTGAATGACTGAGTAATGTAATGGTTACGTGTAGCATCAACGCGAGAAAACTAAAGGAAGTAGTCTCTTTCACTTACCTACCTGAGCACCATCGTTTCAACTACAGGCACAGATGAGGACGTCAACACCAGGATCGGAAAAGCAAGCAAGACAGTGGTAGACTTTAATTCCATTTTAGTCTGTTTATTAGAAATATCATATAGCGAAACAGTGGCATTTACTGGATCACGTTTCGGACACAATTTATTGTCCATATTCATATCAGGTGGATGAATATGAATATGAATATGGACAATAAATTGTGTCCGAAAAGTTATCCAGTAAATGCTACTGTTTCTCTATGTGACATTTCTAATAAACAGACTAAAACGGAACGAGCAAGACAGGCCTTCCTTCATTAATCTGAAACCAGTGTGCAGATCTACTACACTGCACTACAATCAGCATAAAGCGTGAACAACATCCGGATTTCCAACACCAAGTCAGTGAAGTCAATGCTTCTATGTGATGGTTGGGTGATTTGGCGCGCATTTCCAACAAACTACAGACATTCATCAACAGCCACTGCCTACACTCACTCGATACTGAAGATGGAGATCATATAGCGAGAATAATAAGAATAAGCAACAAGGAACTCTAGCTGGCTGGCTAACTGGCTGGTTGGCAACGAGCCAACCAACAACCCATCACCCAACAAATATGCAGTAGAAGAAAGTGGAGATGGATTGCATCGGGTATACCCTGATAAGGCCGATTGGGGACATCATGTGTCAGGACAGGCCAGGCCAAGCCAGGTTGTCGGGTGAAACCCAAATGGGAAACGTGGATTTTGGCGTGCGAGGCGAGGGTGACATGGAGGAGATGGTGTGAAGGAGAAATGAAAGCTTGTGGGCATTCATGGATGCTGGCTTAAAAGACTGTAGAGAAGAGAGTGGAATGGCGACGTGCTCCTGAAGCTCTATGTTCGACCAGGAACCGAAGGGACAAATAATAATAATAATAACGATAAATGTGTAGCATTTTGTGTAAGAAGGCTACATCAGTTTCTGACACTGAATGTACACTAAATATGATTATCCACCATCGACTCTTATTTGTAGTAGATAAATCAAAATAGGTTTTTCATATCAAGGTAACGATGATCTTTGAAGATACTGACTGGTTTGTATATAAAAATATAGGTTTTTAGTTGTTGGACGATATGCCTTAAAATCAGTGTAACATCGTCAGTTCATTCACTGGTTATCAAAGTCAGGAAGTTCAAACATCTCCTTAGATCATTCCTAATCTATTAACATTTTTCTTTGGTCCAACCCTTTACTCTTTTTGTTTATATTTTACAATACCCTCATACTTTATACTGTTTTAATGTTTGATAACCATTGTAAAAAGTTTTGCTTTTATGCTGATCGGTCAATTACAATCCAAAGTTGAATGTTAGACTTTGATCTTTTTAACAAATTGGAGTCACCGTAGATTCGTTCCACATGTGGATCTTACAAATTATAATGTTTGTTTTAAGTTGGAATTCACCATGGATTGACATCAGTTAGAGGAACAGTGGAAATCTGAGAGCACTGGACAGCTATTTCATCTCAATCAATTAATAAATCTCCGCAAACCTCCAGATATATATGTCTGTTGTTGATAACAGATCAAACTAATCGAAAGCAATAACTTTTGTAGTAACAACTTGCGTATTTTAGAAGCTTTCTCTAAGCAGTGAAGCAGTTGTTAAGTTGATCTACACATTTAATTCACTAACTTAAGTCATCTTTCTACAAGATAGTTCTCACGACAGTCATTTTTTGTTTCATCGTGGGAATTTTCTCATGATAGAAATGGTGTTAGGTAAGTTAAAAAGGTCGACAACGGTCTCTAGAAACCTTTTTTTGTATGTATCTTGAATTAGTATCTTTCGCCATTCACATGGCTTACTGATTTTAGAACTCATCTCTGATTTTACCTGTGCTTCATCTGATGACTTTCAAGAAGTCAGGTGAAACGTTTCAATATTCGTCATAGAATTGGAGTGGTTCATAATTTGGTGTATGACATCATGGATGGAAATAGTGAATGCAGTTTAACGTATTTGTCTATGTCTTAAAAACTGTTTGTGAACTGTGATAATACCTCACTGCTTTAATTTCGATAGCTAGTGATTGCACCGAAAACCAATGATTCAGTCAGCAGTTGTGACCTGACACTATAAGTTAAGGAGACTAGAATCTTGATGATAAGAGTACTGTACGAATTTTCTTATTGTATCATGAACAGTTGCATCTTTTGGTTATCCATATTGATCAGTAGTATGTGGCATAAATCACTACTTTATTTGTGACTAGAACTTTTAGAGCTTTCGATGACTGGTGTGCAAGCACAAGCGATTCAGAGTGTATTAGTGTGTGATATGTTATGCGGTTACATTTGATTACATTTTAAAAAGGATAATAATTCATTTCAGAGCAAGTCTTTCATCTTGTCCGAAACTTGCCAGCCGTTTATTGTGGGCGCAGGTGTTCCCATTGAAACTCCAAAACTGTAATCACCGTGACGTACACTAAAATGCTACGACGAAAACTAGACATTTTTCTGGGGGCTTACTTAACAACCTCCAAATGTAACATTTTACATTTCTGTTTAAAGTAAACTTTTCAATGAGCTCTTAATTTCACTTGAATGTCTCATCTAAGTTGAAATGCTAAAGGTCGTTACTGTTTTTTGAAAGCATGCTCAAACTACAATGAGTCAATTCCATATATAAGAGAACTTCACTTCTAACTAGATTGTTACAACGAATATATTAGAAATGTAAGAAAGTTGCCACAACGCTATCCTGATAACTCAAACTACATCACACTTCTTTTCTGGAAAAAAATATTGAAAATGTATGGTGAGTTATATTGCTCCCCATTTATACCAAGTGATTTCTAGGTAGTTGAAAATTTAATGGGGATTTAACGAATTCTAAGCGATACACCTTTTTATCCTAGAAAAATGTGTAGGCTGATGATTATATTGAAACTCAAATAGTTTCAGGTTGATATTCGGTACCGACTGACATCATTCGGAAAGCCATTGAGAACATAGAAGCACTGGAAAGTTGTTGCATTCTAGTATGGTATGCGTCAGCAGTGCGCACCCATGACCATGTCAGGGATCGAACCCAGAACCTTCTGGTTCTGTGGTCAGCACGTAGGACATGGGACAAGCTTAGACAAACCTCAGGTAGAGAGTTATAAGATGCACATTAGCGTTTAGTTTGCGTTCATTTAGCAATCAGGATGAATACTAAGAATGACCTAAAAACTATTTTTAAAGTATTCGCAAACGTCTACCACCTTTACCTTCATATTGTTATAAATAAGGAAATTTTTCACTAACTTGACAAATGAGTATTACTTGTCAAATCTAATGAGTTGAGCGAACTTGAAGATACAATGCTGCTTTGCTAATCAAAAGACATCGACTGCAGTAGACAAAGTTTTAGGTAATGGGAGTCAGTTGGCATGACGCCTTGGACCTAGTTTCTGTACTTTTTGGCACTCATCAGCAAAGGGTTTCTGGAAGCATGAAGAAACTGGCGTTGCTTCAATGATTTAAAGCATCTTCCTTCACTGTTGAGGTTAAACACTTAACCGTTGAGCTATTTAGGCCACAATCGACCCCTTTTAGGGCTGAATTATGTGTTTATGTAGTCCTTAGTGCTTGGGACTGACTGAAGCTTGTTGATCAAGTTTTCCAATGCGATCACTAAGCCAGGTGAATTGAAACTACGATCTACTGTATTTCGGTATAAGGTGGTGGGAGTGAATCAGCCAAAAGTCCTGGACAAATACAATGCAGTGTCCTATCATTCGACATATCACTAGCAATATACACTTGGTTGATACACTAAGATTGGCATTTAAGACCTTAGGTATGAGTAGATTACAATCAGAAAGCCAATTCGTTGAATTCTGACTAATATATATATTGAGATGAAGTCGCTCTGATGATTTACTAGTTAAATAAGCATTA